TGAGTCACTGAGCTTTACCCTCTCTTATATTTCACTCATCAAAACGATATCGTTTTGGAGTATATTTGAGTTTTTCAAAACGACGTTGTTTTGATGCATGTGCCACATCATAATGTCGTTAAATAGTTAATGACAAAGTGAGTAAAATTATAACACCCTAAATTTTGATCTAGTAGTTTCAGGTTTACCCGAGAGGTAAGTGGACCTCGTGAAATTCATAAGTAAAATCTTTGGGCTTAATTGGGTTGGATTTGAGGCCCAATTAGCCATAAAAAGGATATATTTGAATATGGGACAAAATATAGGAGACTAAAAGTGTAATTAGACAATTGAGGAAAATAGAAGCTGATTTTGGAGTTTTATTATGTTTTGTACATGTGTTTCATTCTCATTTCTCTTCTTTTATTTCCTCTTCTCTATTTCTCTTCTTTTTTTCTTCCCTCTCCAAGTTTCATAACAAGGAAAGATTTAGAGCTCTTTCATACTTCATTTTGTCCTAATAACACCCTAGCAACCTCATTTTTGAAGATTCAAGTTTTATTTTGCAAGAAAAAAGGGGGTTTTATCATCAAGCCTCGATGAGGGTGATTGCTGGCTAAAAGTGGTTCATTTTGGGTTTCTAAAATCAAGGTAGTGTATTTTTAATCCTTTGGAGTATTTAGTTTTCATAAATTTCAAGTATTTGCTAAGATTTGGTGATTTGAGCATATTAGGATTTATCTATGATTTCTTAATCAAATCACATTTTAGGTGTTAAAAATATGTTTTTATGATTCCTTAAGACCCTAAACAACTTACCAAAGCTTCATAATAAGTTTAGAAACCAAACCAAGTCTTTTAGGATGATTTTTGAGTGATTCATGAGCCTAAAACACCTATTTCTTGGTTCAAGTATCGATATTGGGGTGAACAGTATCGATACTGGTTAAATTAGGGTAAAAATTAGGGATTTTGGGCTGGAGTATCGATACTGCCAAGGGGAATATCGATACTGCCCCTGCAGTATTGATACTCAGGGTGATAATATCGATATTGAGGCCTCAATTTAGCAATAATATATTTTTTATATCGATACTCATGGGGATATCGATACTTGGCCCTAGGGTACCGATACTTCAAGTGGAGTACAAATACTACTCATTTTGGATGGTCAGTATTAACCCGTTTAAGGTCCGTAAGAGCTAAGGATGATCAGTATTAGTAAGACTTAGTTCGTGAAGGATACAAATGACCAAGCATCGGGTTCATAAATGGTTTGTTTATGCTCGAAAATCACCCAAAAATCATCCTAAATAACTTGGTTTGGTTTCTAATCTTGTTATGAAGCATTAGTAAGTTGTTTAGGGTCTTAAGGTGTCATAAAAATGCATTATTAACACCTAGAATGATTTACTTAATAATTCAAAAGTAAACCCTAAAATGCTTAAATAACCAAATCTTTACAAATTTATGAATATAAACCCTAAAATGCTTAAACAACCAAATCTTTACAAAATCTATGAATTGATGAAAGCTTAATACTCCAAAGGATTAGAAATACACTACCTTGCAGATTGAATCCCAAAATTGAGCTCCTTTAGTTAGAAATCATCCCCCATCTTGACGTGGATGATAAAACACTCAACTTTTTATTGCGAACAAAGAACCCAATGCTTGAATGGTTAAATCCATGTTGCTTTATGGATTAAGAACGAAAATTAAACTTGAAAGAGGTAAGAAATGGCTCAAATGACTTACCCTTAGCTAGGGAGTTTGAAAAGGAAGAAGAAGAAGAAAATGGAAAATGAGAGGAAGAAAATGAAATGAGATAATATAAAAGCCCCCATCCTTAAAAATGAGATAATTACACTACTGGTCCCTCTTCATCTTCCTACTATGCAAAATCATCTATTTATGGATAATTGTGCCAAAGTCAAACTCAATTAAGCCCAACGACTTGAATTATAAATTCTATGAGACCTACTTACCTTAGTTGTGTTAGCCCAATTTGAGGTGTTTACACCAGTTGTGTTAAGGTGTACCCCGATTACCTTAGTTGCCCTAGTGGGGCATTACCAGTGCGCGAGGCACTTCATGGGCTAACTAGGGTACGAGACCCAAACACTTGAGAGGAGTGGGTTAGCAATGTCAGTGTTGTGTGGCTTGTGGGCATTAGATATGCATGGGTAGTTATGTCAGTTTAGTTCAATTGGGTAAGCTTCTGATGCATGTAAATTTTGGTTTTTACGCTTAGGCTTTTCTGTATGTAAGGTAGGTTGGGGTGTTGTTTCGAGATGCACGTAAATTACTCCGACACACACCAGACCTACTTCATGTCTGTTTACCTTAGTCATGCATGTGTAGTCCATTAGTCTGATATGTCAACTATGTTGAGCTTGACTTAAAGGCTATGTGAGACCGACCCAATGCTTCAATTTGTGTGGGAATTACACCGATGCTCTGTGACATCAGGTTCCCCTCAGTGATCTATATGATGGCTCTGTGAAGACCATGAGATCATTCAGTATGTTTGTGGAAATTACGCTGATGCTATGTGACACTAGGGTTCCCTTAGTAACTAATGTATGAAACTTATGTGAGACCAGATACTAGTCAGGTTTACATTCAGATAATGCATAGTTTGTCAGGTTTGCATTCAGATGATCCACATGAGCATCAGTGTCGCATTCAGATGATGCGTAGCATGTTCAGTTGTTAGGGTTAGAGACCCTTTTAGAGGTGTTATCATGGCAAGGCCCTTATCAGAGGATTAAAAGAAGCATGAAACCCTGCTTCAGAGATATATCATTAAAGCCTTATGTAGGTAGCACTTGATCTAGGTCATGCATGTATTTATCGCTTAGCACCACGTCTCGGCATGCTTATTTTATGAAATTCCTATATTGCTCTAGTTTAACGATTATACTGCTAAACTTTGTAAGCTCATCATTCGGATGTTTTGCGTTGCCAGGTCAGTAGCTTGAGCAGTTCGTGGAGTACCATCACGGTAGGAGTTATAGCATCTCCTACAAAGTACTATATTGTAGCTTAGGTGGGCATATATATTCATAAAACCTTAATTATGTATTTGAGTTGTAAACCTCAAGAGTATTATCTTGATTTTAATTGTGTCATGGAGCTCCAGTTTGTAAAATATTTTATAAATGTTATTTATGTATTTTATGATACCATTCATATTTGAAAAGAAAATAATTAGGTTTTGAAAATCAAGGGTTGCCTCGGTGGCCTAACGTGGCACTTTAGGTAAAATCAAGTTTAGGGTATTACAAAAATGATTCAATATGTAAAGTTCGGTGAGCAAATTGATTAAATTAAAAGTTGGGTGAGGAAAATATGAGAGAGAGTAAAGTTCAGGGAATAACAATATAATTTACCCTTCTATTTATGAAAGAATCATATTATAAAAATTTGAGTTAATTACATCACATATCCTCAAAGTATGCCCCTTATTTTAAATTGGTCTCTAAACTTTCAAATATCTCAATTTCATCATTAAACTATGAGTATCATTTTAAATTAATCCTTAAACTTTTGAACACTTCAATTTCATCCCCAAACTATGACCTTAATTTTAAATTGATCCCCAAACTTTTTGAACATTCTAATTTCATCCCAACTATATATATATTAATCAGTTCATTGTATGTTTGAAACAAAGTTTAGGTTAAATTGATTTATTTGGATGAAATTGATTGGAATATTCAAAGTTTTAAGGACTTAGAAGAAGGTCATAGTTAGGGTGGAATTAGGATGTTAGTTTAAGTACTAATTTAGAAAGAGTCATAGTTTGGGGATGAAATTAAATTCAAAAGTTTAAGGACCAATTTAAAATAAGATTTATAGTTTGGTGACATATGATACAATTAACTCTAAAATGTCACATGTACACATACATTTGCGTTGATAAATTTAATAATTTCATTTTTAAGATATTAATTATAAAGGATATTTAATAGTTTAATTATTAAAATTAATTGTAAAAGAATTTATGAAAATACGGAAACATTAAATTATAAGAAACACAATTATGTTAAGAGAGACCCCACTGTCCAAAGTACCTTCAAGTAGTTAAAATTTGCTGGTGAGACATTATATTCGTCATTTTAATTGATGGTTACTAATGGTCCAAACAGAGAGAATAAATTATATAATGAATACCTTATCTTAAAAATTAATGTTTGAATTGCCTAATACATAAAAATATTAATGATAGTTGGTAAGGGGATAATTTCTTTAAAAAAAAAAAAATAATAATAATAATAATAATAATAGAATTAGGTTGCAACAGCATATCATGACGGTCCATTTTGCCCTAATTGTGACCAACTTTTCAAGTTTCCAACTAAATTACAAAATCATGCAAATAATTGAATTTCTTAAATGAATAATGACTCTCTACACATTTATATTTGGATGAAGTACACAATGGTCCTCCAACTATAGATATTACTTTATTAAATCTATCAACTATTAAAGTTGCAATGATCCCCTACTACATGACATATTTTTTGAGTCCCCAGCTATTAAAATTTACAATATAGTCACCCGACCAGTCATTGTGTTCCAAACTCGTCCTTTTCTGTTAAAAAATTGATAACAATTTGAATTGGACGTTATCCTGCTACTGGGATATCATAGTCGTTAGAAATTCTAGGATCATATTATATCATATCCCAAAATTCTGAGATCAGATTATATCATATCCCAAATTAACATCCAACTCAAACTGTCATCAATTTTTTAACAAAAAATGATGAACTTGGAACATAATGAATTGTCATATAGCTATTTATAATTTTTAATTGTCGGAGACTAAATCTTATAATCGAGAAACTAATTTGTAATTTTTAATAGTCAATTGACCATGTACCCTTTACATTTTTAGTAAAGTAAGACTCGAGTATTTTAATATCATATAGTTAAATTACAAGATATACAAATATGGATAAAAGAAAAGGTAACATTATAAAATTGAAAGTGAGAAGGCAATTCATGTTCCCAAAACATTATTGCATTTGAGGTTGTCGACGACAAAACATCATGATCTAATATACAAACAAACAAGACACCCAACAAACGACATGAGAGACCAGGACGTTAGAAACCTTTGACAAGCCAAGCCAAACCATTGATTCTCTCACCTTGATTTGCTTACAAGCAAAACCTTTGATCAAGCCAAGCCAATGTGGGTGGATTGGTTCGACCTTAGCGTTCGTTAGTGTCGAACCTCACCTAAACGTTGTAGGAGACACCGAAATCCGACAATCATACCCGAATCCAAGTAACATAGCTTCTAGTTGTGTCGAATTCATGCTAAGGATGTTAGGTAGCTCATGGAAATTTAAGAAGGGAGGGCAACAGGTAATTCATTGTCAAAATAATACAGTATCATAACTATGAAGAGCAATATGCAATAGGTTCCAGAAATGTTTTCAATTTAGCAGCCTGTCTCATCTTCTTCGACTGCCACGATAATCTTCTTCGCTTCTTTATCTTTTTAGCAAGAAAGTAATATAAAAATCGGTAGCAGATCATGGTGAAATCCAGGATGGCGAAAGACACCATGAAGTATATACGTTATAACACTAGTAAGATTTTCGCTAAAAGGAAAGCAGTAGAGAAACTAGAAACAGAAAAATGAACATTGTCGATGCTTCAAGCAAACGACTCCAGCATATGGATTCTTCCATACAGTCACCTACCGAAGCTGATGGTGCATGAAAGTGCGGGCATCAAAACAACATGGCTAAATTCTAAAACGTGTATGAGGCGATGCATGCTATCATTATCCCTTCAAGTACTAGAGAAAAGATCACTTAGCCCACTGTAACCTTCCTAACCACAATCAAACTTGAGGTGGGACAAAAGTCGCTAGAAAATCACAAAGGAATACATCTAACACATTTGGCAAATTATTGAAAGGATGTGTTTGTTATTACAGTGAACAGGAGCTTGGGTGATCGTTGGTGCTTCCCGAATCACGGTTTGAGTTTGCCCTGAAGCACTGCAAGTTGCATTCTGCAGGAAGAAGAAACCACGTCAGAAAATCCGAGCTTCAACATCGTTAAAAGTCTAGTAACGTTCATAACCCATATCCACACATGTTTGATCTGTTTCACTAAATCTATTTCAGGCTTTAACTCTGTTTATGCTAGTACATGGTAAACACATAAAGAGTCGGCTTTAGTTAACTATTCTAAAGGAAATCAATTTTCTCCGTAGAAATAAAAGCGAATAGCCGCAGCACATACAATGGATAAGCATTGCTTTCTACGTCTTCCAACGATAGGTTGTGACCGCAAACTGAGTCCTCTCGGCCGAATTCGTGTAGGAATTCGAAACGCAACACAACAGCCACTGCAAATTTGGGGCTCCAAACGATGTCCTGGCGAAAACCATGAAAAATATTATTCATGAATCTAAGAAAATCCAACCAAATGATAAAAGAAAATTCCAAGAAAACCAGCTAGAACAAGAGCATACCGTTAGATAGTGAACACGGCAAGGGGGCAGTAACACTAGCAGTCAGCATTCGCAAATAATAATTACAACAAATGCTATTCGGCTAAGAACAAAACCTGAAAACATATTAGATTCACAACAATGAAACCCCATAAAATATTTTCCATTTTCAACGAACCTACATGGATTATAATTATCAATCCTATAGGGTAAAAGCACCCAAAAGAAACACGGAAACAAAAAATGGCCCAATTCATTTACCTAGTTACCAACAACAAAAACAACATCAAAAGGAGTGATTGAAGTGCTAAAACCGACTTAATTCATGGATTACGTACGAATTAAAAGGGAAAAAATTGAAACCTTGAAGAAGCTGTGGCTACTAGAAGCCCAAGAAAGGAAAGTTGCCGACTTTATGAAGGAGCGAGAACCGGGGATTGCAATCCAAGTTGAGGAAGACGAAAAACAGGGCTCAAATAAACGGCGTAAGTGTATAGAAATGCGTATAATTTGCCGACTTTAATGGCTGCCATTTTGTGGACGTGTGGGAATCTAAAACTTGAGCATGGAGAATTGGAGATGAGCATGGGCTAATGGATCGGGACTCGTATACAAAAGTTTCTAAATTCCGTCCACCTCACAAAAAAATAGGGTAAATTTCGAATTTAGTATCTGAACTATCAATTTTTAATCATTTAGTACCTAAATTTTAATTTTTTCTTCAAAATCATACCTAAAATTTAATTTTTATTTCATTTTAAAAGAAAAATACACACAATTATAATAAATATTTTAATTATAATCATAAATTAAATATATAACTAGAATATTTTTCTATAACTATTAACACAATAAATGATTCACTTGAGATCATACAAGGATCATATAATGAAAATATTAAAAATCCAATAAAATACTCGAACAAAAATAGATATGAATAAATCTAACTATATTAACAAACGAATCACGAAAAGATATAAAAAGTATTAAAAGACCATCGATAAATTGTATATCAGTGGCACGTTTTAATAACTCTAATTTTATGACACATTTTCATTTGTTTTTATGACATATTTTCATCTTCTTTTATAACACACATGCTTTTCGACACGTTTTCGGTTTTTAATTGTTTTATTTTTTATCATAGGTGGATTTTACATTATCACAACTAATCAAGATGACGCTTAATTGTTATCATGATGATCTTCTCTGCTTTGAACCATTGGATCAAGTATGAATATGTAATTTACGTCGGTGAATAATTTTCTCACGTCGGTCTATTTTGATTAGTAATTTTGTTGGTGATCTTTTAATAACGTAATCTTTTTGTGGTTTGTTTGTCAATGTGTTCATATCAGTTTGTATTTACCTTTCATTCGCATTTATTTGGTTAGATTTTAAATCTTTTTACATATATAATCCTCGTATCTTGAAAAATTAATTTATTAGGTTAATGATTATAAAAAAATATCCTACTACACATCAAGTCTACTCTTATAATTATAAGCATTTATTGTAAATTTAGATTTTTTTTAATAAAATTTTATTAGAAAAATTTATTTGTATAACTTATAAAAGTTAAATTTATTATCTTAAAATATAAACAACTTATCAAAATGATTTAATATAAATAGTTTGCAAAATGTTATCCCAATGATTAATAAACAAATAACATTCGTCATCTCTTCTTTAGGGTTCCTTTCTTTGTTCAATTTATCTAATCAATTTTGACTTGGAAAAAATTGGAGAAAAATGCATATTCCTTGACAATGAAATAATGATGCATAGATCTTCTCCCCATCAAACCCTATTTCGTTGCAAAGGGTTTTTGCTTTCAAAACCTCTATTTTTCCCTTTCTCTTTGAATTCCTTTCCTTTTTTAAATCCCAGATTATTTTTGTTTAACCCCGATAGATCGACGATTCAGTTAAATTATTATACTTTTCGTTTTTTGGTTTCTATATTGAGTAGTAATTTTAATTTGTTTATATAATGGATTCTCTTGCGAATCGTGAGCGATTTGGCGATACTTCTACAGGTTTGACGTTCGATCTTTTTCCTTTTATTTACTCTTTATGCTCTTAATGGGATAAAATCAGCTATGGGTTTTGTTTGCTATAGTTTGGTTTAAGCTAGAAGTTTAGGTTGTATTAGATTTAAAATTTAAAATCAAATAATGTTTTTGTACATATGGAGAACTACTGGGCCCTGGCTACATAAAGGCTGAAGTGTGTTTATACTTGTGTTTACTGGTGAAAAGCTTGAATTAATGTTTGTTTGAGTTTTCTTTCTATTGTCTGAATTTATCTCATCTTTGTCTTGTGAGTTTTTCTCTTTAATTATTGGTTGAAGTGTGTGTGTGTTTTTACTAAATTTAGTTTTTTTTTTCCTATGATGCAGGAGATGCATTATTTGATGCTTCGCAATATGCATTTTTCGGAAAAGATGTTCTTGAGGAAGTTGAATTGGGGGGATTAGATGACGATGAGGAGGATTTACCAGCAGTTGGACTTAATGATGAGGAGTTTTTGCTTGAGCGAGAGGAGGTTAATATTCTTGTTTCTTTTCACTTTTCTTTCATGTTTTAGTTATTCTTGCAAATTTATGTAGAGTAGGACATAATCAGTGGTACTTGTTTGAAAAGAAAATTGCTTCCTTCGGAAATCGTGCTGTAAAATCCTTCTGGTGTAATGTTGATGTTCTTTTTCTGAACAGAAGGAAGCCGCTACATTTAATTAGTGGTTGGCATGCTATTCTTATTTATGGAGTAAAACATTGTGGGAGCTCAATCTCATATTATATATTTTTATTTTTTCGGGCATGACACTGTTAACCTTGTTTTATGTATTTGTGAGTTAACATTATATCATTCTTGGTGGGTTGTTTTCTGAAGTTAATTTGTGTTTGCTCTTCTCAATAAGAGGCAGCTCTTGTGTATTGTGTAGAGGCTTGTACTGTACAAGCTGCAGTGGTCAAGTGCCTTAGTTATATTATCAATAAAATTGTATTCTACAGTGGAATAGGTTTTGGAGATTGTGTTAATTGTACTTTGTTGCTCTATATGCTTCCCAAAGCAAATATGTTGAGAAGGTAGTTTATGGTGGGTTTTTTCCTTCTTTTTGGTTCTTAGTTTCTTTGGTTCTTGCTTCTTAGAGTATTCATTATTGAAGTACTGTCCTTTTTATGTTTGTAAAAAAGGAATTGTATTTGATATCAACAGAAATTTGATTGGTTATGCTAATGTATTTAAAAGTTAGATTTAATTGTGGGTTTAAGAATTCAGTCTTCTCATATGTATGAAGAATTTGCAGTTTATGGATCAACTAGTGGAGTTAATTGCACAAATTTATTTGAATCAATTTTGGATTAATTCTAACACTTTTTCGCACTTAGCTATCCAATGAGATGCATGTCTCACTAACAAAGAGAAATCCTAAAAAGTAAGAAGAGAGGAATATTTTCTCTTCCTCTCATCTCTCTCTCTCTGTGGTGTTGTGAAGTCTGATCTGTTATGTGATAAATTTTATGTTTTAATCTAGAATTCTCATCACTCTTGGTGTTTCTTTTGGCCCTCTAAATATCTTCAAGCTTATCATTTTTTTGTAGTTGATTTTAGCAGAATATCTGTGTGCTAGGTGCTTTAACTAATTTCTTTTAATATTTGCAGGGTGAAGTTTTTGAGTTCCTTATTGGACATTGATGATCTTACTAGTACATTTTCAAAGGTGAATCCAGTACATGATCATGTATTTTGCAACTAGTGATAATCAAATATCTTTTCCTCTCCCGAGGATTAGCCCCTAAATTCGCATTACTATTAGATTTAGATCATCCCCATTTTGAGTGAATTAATGGGACGGAACCACGGCACATTACTTGATATTGGCCTTTTTATAAATAAGAAGAACTGCTTATTTTTGAACTTGTATCTCTCTCGTTTATTAAGATATACAATAAATATTTTACCAACTTCTTTCAAAATCATCTGCTAGTGTTTCCAGAATATTGTTCCTCCAAGCTTTTATTGTAACACTAAATAAGGGCACTAGCAGCTATCAGAATCCTTGCTTGATATTTGGCCTTTTTTTTATAAAATAAGAAGTCAATTTATTAAATTGTATCTCTGTTTTCTCCTATTAAATCTTTTGGTGTACATAATCATAAAGAACAGAGTTCCTATTGTTTGTCACAATATTTCTTAAATCATAACTCACAGATGCGTCCATGTTTCTTGGTGGTTAGTTCTAGCCTGTCTTTAACAATTGCTGATGCTAGCTTGTGATGTTGTTGCAGTTGGACACAGCTGTTAGTGGACCAAGAGGCTCTGGGATAATAGATGATGGGGGATCCAGACAAAGTGAGTTTATTAATCTCATTACTTTGTTCTGTTAGTCAGTTGTTGATGATTGATGTTGTTGAGGTCCCATCTTTTTTGGATTTGTTTCTTGCAGAAGTCTTTGATATGTTCTATTTAGCATCAATGCTGATTGTTGAATTTGATTAAAGTATCGGTTATGGTTTGAAGTATGGGCTGTATCTGTATGTTTCCAAATTTAATGTTTAAGTTCTGGAATACTATTATATGTGGATAGGAAAGTTGATTTCAGACTGCTTGACCTTTTTAAAGGAAGAACAAGGATCATCTGGTAGTAGTCGTGAATTCTCAGAACAGATGTTCCCTTGCCTAATCTGTTGATGATGCATTGTCGTGGTTATAATTAATTAATAGTATACTTGCTGAAGGTTTCCTTTGCTACCATTTTTAATAGAAGGTTGTGCATGAATTGTACTACCCATTGTTTTTGCTGTTGTAAGTGAATAGCTAGTCAGTAAGATCCTACATCAGAGTGAAGGGACCCATTACTCACAAACCACAACAGGCAAGATAAATACCATACCGATATTGACTTCTTTCATTATGTTGTTGAAGGTTCATCTGCTGCTGAATGGACACATGGGGAGGAATTTCCTTACTGGCTTGGTCAGCAGCCACTTGGAACCGAAAGTATTCCTAAAGGGAAACACTGGTCGTCACAACCATTGGCCAATTTGGACTCAAAGAATCTCTATGGGACATCCTCATACCCTGAGCAGCAGCAGCAGCAACAACAACAACAATACCATCAACATTTCTCTAGTGAACCGATTTTAGTTCCAAAATCTTCTTATACTTCATACCCTCCCCCCGAGGGCAGATCTCCTCAGGCTTCACCGAACCAACAGCTGGACACCTGAATATTCCTTATAAGGTTGGTGGGTCACAGGTGGCATCTTCGCCAAACCTCTCTGCCTTCTCAAATTCTCAGCTTCAACCGCCTGACTTACACCATGGGCCACCTTTTCGTGAGAATATTCCTCAATTTGCTTCAGGTCCGTCTGTCGGTAGTCAGCCATCAAATCAATGGGGGAGCCAGCCAAAATTTTATGGAGATAATTCCATGTGTTTGAACAATATGCTCGACAACAATTATCTCATCAAAATGGTTTGATTCCACCACAATTAATGCCACAGCTGCGGTCGCACCGCAGAGACTGCAGCATCCTGCTCAGCCTTCCGTTAGCCATTTTTCAGGGATTCAGTCACAACTATTTAATTCTCAACTTTCTCCTTCCCCACCTTTAATGAACGAGGTTGAGGCTATACTTGGTATTGGTGATCTAAGATCAAAGAGTCAATCAGCCCAGAAAGGCAGGCAAAATCTACGGTTTTCACACCAAGGCTTTGATAGTGATAGACTGAAGCACGATCTTGGATGGCCTCAGTTTAGATCCAAATACATGTCACTGATGAGATTGAGGGCATTGTTAGAATGCAGCTTGTTGCAACCACAGTAATGACCCTACGTAGATGATTACTACCACCAGGCTTGTCTTGCTAGAAAATCTGCTGGGGCAAAGTTGAGACATCATTTTGCCCAACTCAGGTTAGGGACCTTCCACCCGAGTCGTTTGAATTCTGAGCCTCGTGCTTTTCTCCAGGTTGATGCTCTTGGGAGGGTTCCTTTCTCTTCAGTTCGCAGGCCTCGCCCTCTTCTGGAAGTTGACCCTCCAAATTCATCTGTTTGGCACCAACAATGATAAAAAAAAGCTTCTGATATGCCTCTGGAACAGGAACCTATGCTTGCTGCTAGAGTTTCAATAGAGGATGGTCTGTGCCTTCTTCTCGATGTAGATGATATTGATCGTTTTTTACAGTTTAATCAGTTGCGGATGGTGGAGCCCAACTAAGACAAAAAACGACAGACTTTGTTGGAGGGACTGGCTACATCACTTCAGTTGGTTGACCCACTTGGCAAGAATGGTCATACGGATGAGCTTGCTCAGGATGATCTGCTTTTACGGATAGTTTCCCTCCCCAAAGGTCGGAAGCTACTTGCAAGGTTCCTTCAGCTTCTTTCTCCAGGTGGTGAACTCATGCGAGTTGTCTGTATGTCCATTTTCCGTCTTTAAGGTTCTGTTCGGAGGTCTTCCTCTGACCAGGAGCGGCTGAAACTACTATTAACCTTGCAAGGGTTGTTTCCTCTTGTGTTCATGGGATGGATATCCGTGCACTTAGCTTCTGTCTTGCATCTGTTTTTGTTCCTCAGAGCAGCCCCTCTTCGTCCCCTCGGAAGTCCTGCTGGAGATGGGGCGTCGTTTATTCTGAAGTCTGTTCTTGATAGGGCAACAAAACTCGTCACAGATTCTAGAGCTACTGGCAATTATACTACGACTAATCTGTCCCTTTGGAAGGCTCATTTGATGAATTCTTTAACCTCTTACCAAGTATTGCGTAAACAAATATACAGTGAGCCTCCTTGTGTATGCAGGCCAAACCAAATATGGAAGTGATGAATCAGATGCTTCTAAAGCTATTAACAATATGGAGCAAGTGCTGCTGAGTGCTGAAAAGAATTAGCTATTTGTTTCTCACAAATGTGGTTATGACGGAGCACCAACAATGGTTCAGGTGAAACTCCAAAGATACTTTTTTAAGTAAAAGCCAATTTCCTTTGAGATTTTAGTTTTAGCTCTTATGGTCTTTTATCCCCTCTTTTAGCAAAACTTTGAAGTGGGCCTACGTGTATTACTATAGAAAATCTGCAGGATATTTTCCCTTGTGCCCTTACCATATATAATCGGAGCTTGTTTTGTTGCTCTGTTGTGAAATTTCTGGTATGAAGATATTAGTCGGTTAGCTTGTACAGGGCTTGGTACTGATATCCCATGCCCCGACTATTATTTCCTGATGATGCCGGATGGATCCTATCTTGGTCTTCCTCAGAATTGTCGCCACCGTCCAACTTAGCAGACACTGGTTATCGGAAATTGTAGCTTTACGGGGAGGAAGGTATAATTATCAGTCTTACCTGCCGAGCTAAAATGTTGAGTTTAGCTCAAATAATGGGAAAGTTGAAGCTTTTGTTTTGATCCTTGAAATTTAGTGTTTGTAATCCTTTTTATCTTTCCCCTCATTTTGCTAAAGAAAAGACTGTTTTATTATATTAGCGCTGCATTTTGATATTGGTGTTGATCCAAAGGCTCCATTCTTTGTATCTTTTTATATATTTAAAAGATTTTATTATCAAATATGGTGTGTACATTCCTAATTCAGTCCACCAACATTTCTAACTATGTTATGTACTTACATATCTCAAAAGGTTAAGATGATACCCATTGCTGTAAAAGCTTATTCATCTTGGGTGGTTACCAGTGGTAGTAAGAAAAGATCATTTAACAATGAATGTTCGAATATTCTGTGGTTACTGATGCTCAAACTCGAAATCCCTGAGAATAATAATCATTCTTTGAAGGATTAAGGGTAATTTTTGCCTCTGTATTGGATCAAATATATCATTTTTGTCCTTATCATATTTTTATATCAATTTAGTCATCAAATTGTATAATTTCATCATCCTATGCTCTATCATTAACTTAAAATCCTAAATTATAAATAAAAAACTCTAAACCATGATCTCTTAACCTCTAAACCTTAAATTCTAAACCATAAACCATACCTTAAGATCCTAAACAATAGTAAATATTTAGTAAAAGGCACCCGAGGTCCCTGAACTTTTAAAACAATGTGGCTTTCATTTTATTTTTTAGATCAATGTGGTCGGCCAACTCGAAAAAAGAACCAATATGACCCTTTGACCAACATTGTTCATCATTGACCAACAATTTCGTTAATTCCTGTTATAAATTGGGTAAATTACACCATTCATCATTCAACTATTTTCTTCTCTTCTATTTTGGTCACTAAACTCCAAAAATTTTCAATTTCAGAGCTTTAGAGAGTTCAAGGACTAAGGTTGTTGTTAACCCATTTTATTTTAAGGGTAAATTATACAAATGATCACTTTTGTTTTAGGGATAAATTATTAATCACGGGTCTCTTTATAAACTCAAAATAATTCAGGGATAAAACATCAATATACTTGGTTTTTTTTTCATATGTGGTCCTATCGAAAAAAGGGTAAATTGAGTTTACAAAGGACCACTTCGTAGAGAAAAGGGTACATTTTATCCCTGAACATCGACAACTATAGAGAAAAAGTGAAGGGTAAATTGATAAAATATCATACCATTGGTCAATGACAGAAAATGTTGGTCAAATGATCATATTGAGTTTTTTTTTTAGTTTGAGGGTCATATTGATCTAAAAAATAGGATGATGGCCACATTGGGTTTTTTGGAAAGTTCAGGGACCTCGGGTGTTTTTTTTGCCTAAATATTTTAAACATTGATACAATTGAACAAATTCAAGGATTAAATCAATACGAAAAAATGATAATGACGAAAATAACAAATTGAATCTATTATAAAGAATGAGCGACTAGGCCTGCAAATGAACTGAACGTTCAGCGAACCGTTCATGAACTGTGCGGCTGGAAGTTCGTTTATGTTCTTTTATTTATTAAATGAACGAACATGAACAAGATTTTGCGTTCGTTTAATTAAATGAACGAACACGAACAAAGGGTTCGTTCGTTCATTTACGTTCGTGAACGTTCGATTATATGTTCGTTCATTTATGTTCATTCATTTATGTTCGAACAGAGGGCAAGTTGAATATGTTACGAAGATTATTGAAGTTGTTTGGATTTCAAGAAGATTGTTTTGTTGAACAAATTAACTTTAAGACTTTATTATGTTCATATAGCTTATTTATGATTTATGTATGTTTTTGTCGTATTCGAACTAATTAACTTTAAAGTTGCATGTTATATTAAAGAATTTTAAGTTGTTATTCTTGTTGTTTACTTTTTTTACATTCATTTGTTGTGTTCGAATAAGTTTGTTTTTTGTATTTGTATTGTTTGTTTATGTTCGTTTATTGTGTTCGTTTATGTTCATTTATTATGTTCGTTCGTTTGTGTTCGTTTATGTTCGTTTATCATTTAAATGAACGAACATAAACAAGCTATATTCCTTAATGAACGAACATAAACAACAAAATTTTTGTTCGTTCGTTTATGTTCGTTTATTTATTAAAGGAACGAACATGAACATACCTCCGTTCGTGTGAGTTCGGTTCGTTTACAGGCTTAACTAATAACCATTAAAATAGTTTGGTTAGTGTGAAAGACGAACAATTATAGAAAATGCGTCTACCAAATGACTTGGAGCCGTATTAGCCATGCATGTCTGGTATCAACGTACAAAAACTGCTAAATATCAACGGTACATAAAAAGTCGGTAAAGATATATAGAAATAGGTATGAAATTACTTATGATCATGTCGTTTTCCATCGTTTTGCCGATGGCCCCTTTTCATTTATCCTTCACACAAGTTCACGAGATCTTTGAAACCATTGTTTACCTAAAAAATAAGGGAACAGATTTGGCGTAATGATCCTCACGATGAAAAGGAACTTCAAGAAGCAGATATGTTGCATCAATGAAATATCATTTTCATTGGAATCGATCACGCAGTAACATTTTTTTAATTAGGATAAAGTACACAAATGATTCATCGACTGTAAAGTATTGTTTTATTGAGTCCGTTGATTATTGAAAGTTACACAATAGTCCTCTAATTATAGGACGTTGCTTTCTTAAGTTCCAACTATTAAAAGTTACAAAATGGTTATCCGACTATTCATTGTGTTTCAGTCTCGTCCTTTTTCGTTAAAAATTTGATGGTAGTTTGAGTTAAACATTAACCTGTTGACTGCGATATGATAGTCATTTGAAATTTTGAGTTCATATTATATCATTTATCAGTCAATAGATTAATATCTAACTAAAACCGACATCAATTTTCTAATAGAAAATGACAGGTCTGAAATACAATGAATAGTTAGGGAATCATTTTATAAGTTTTAATAGTTAAATTACTCAAAAAAATCAATGTCATATAGTTGGGTACCATTTATGTACTTTACACTTTTAACTAATGCAGATAATTGACGCTTTGAAATTTCTTCGTAACCTGTAAGCATTTGAGCTGCCATGAAACTTCACTGGATCATTAATTTCATTCATAAATCATAGCTTTTACTTCCAAGTTCTGCACTTACGTTCAAGAAACCAAGTGATGAGGGAAATTATTAGAGGCTCTGTTTTAGTAGCTTTAATGTCTTGTTTTTACTTAGAGTTCGGCACTGGTACAGACACTATAACACCTTCCAAATCCATCAAAGACCCTGAATTTATAATCTCCAGGACTGGTTTTTTCAGGCTGGGATTCTTCAGCTTCGCTAATTCCAGCAATCGTTATGCAGGGATACTGTACAATCGAATCCCAGTACAAACTGTGGTATGGGTAGCCAACAGAAACAATCCCCTCAAAGACTTCTCCGGGATTCTCAAGCTATCGGACGATGGAAACCTCGTTGTTCTGAACGGAAAATACGACATTCTTTGGTCTTCAAATGTCACAAATTCAGTTCCCGACACGACAACCGTCGTGCTTTTGGATAACGGAAACCTTGTGCTCAACAATGGCGAAAACAATGGAGCAAACTTATGGGAGAGTTTCGAACACCCTTCGAATGCCTTCATTGAAACGATGAAGATCGGCACTGACGTGAAGAAGGGAAGAAAAATGCAGCTGCAATCATGGAAAAGCGCTTACGATCCAGCTGTTGGTAACTTCTCACTTAGCTTTGAACCTTTCAATGTCCCAGAACTCATTCTACGGAACAACAAGCAGCTGTATTTTCGAACCGGACCATGGAACAACATCATCTTCGTTGGTCTAATAAGCACCAAGAGTGCTTATTTCGATGGGTTTTACGTTGTTGCCGATATGCAACACAAGTGTATTACATCGCGTATGAATTCTCTAATAAATCCGCGTTGATTTACTACGAACTCGACCCGCAAGGACGATTGATGGAACGCTTTGGGATGATGGGAAAGAGGAGTGGGTGAACAGGGATACTGTTTACCGAAACGCTTGTGATCTTTATGGGAAATGCGGCGCGTTTGGTGTCTGTGACTCGACGAAACGGCCCATTTGCAGTTGTTTAAAGGGGTTTGAGCCCAAGGATGTCAAGGAATGGCGTCGGGGGAATTGGAGCAGCGGGTGTTTAAGGACTACCCATTTGCAGTGCCGAAGGGATGATCACAGTGGCGGTGAGGTTAGCCGAAAGATGCGTTTTGAAGCTGGAGATGATGAAAGTTCCGGCTTTTCCGACCGGTCATCGATGATCATCGGCGAAGCGAAGATCAGTGCTTGAAGAACTGTTCTTGTGTCGCTTATGCGTATGATGCGGGTATCGGTTGCATGTTCTGGAGTGGAGATTGATTGATATGCAGAAAATTTCAGCTCGCGGCGTCGATCTTTATGTTCGCCTGCCATCTCCTGGACTTGGTAAAGTTGTGATGTCGACCATAAGTTCGATAAACGAGTCAATCATCTGGTTTTTTATTTTATTAAAGTTTAGTAAAAATATCTGTATTGTTATCTCTTAACTAACGTTTTTCGTCGTTGACAGTTTATTTTATTGACATGACAGTTTATTTTACTGACGTAATAATCTACGATAGTTGATAACGTGACAGATGATAATACATATGGATCAAATTAGTAATCAAACATGATAGATGGATTGTTACGTCAATCATAAACTGTCATATCAATATAGTAGATCGTCTTGTTAGCATCATGAACTGTATATCAGTTCTGTAACGATCAATGACGAAAACACGTTGATTAAAATATCACATTATATTTATTTTTTAAGTTTGAGTGTTAGAATAAAAAAATAAAAATAAAAATCACATCGATTAATAGAGACAACCAAGTTTCTCTATTTGCAGATAAAAGGAAAGACAAAAGTAGGGTCATTGTTATTACAACGGGGATTGTCGGTGCACTCGGTATTTCAATTTCTGCACTCTTAATATGTTGGATGACTAAAAAGAGGGTAAAATGTATTCCTTCACTTCGTCTCTATAATTATCGATGTTCGATTCATTAATCTACTAATTCGAATCAGATAATATAAACATTTGTTTATAAAATTACTTCTCTAATTTCTATTATCACAGGAAGGAGACAAAAGACCAAACTGATCAACAGCAACTCCAGCAGCAGCTACCCACTGTTCGATTTCGAAGAACTCGCCACCGCGACGAGCAACTTCCACGACACAAAAAAGCTCGGGCAGGGCGGTTTCGGTCCAGTTTACAGGGTAATAACAACGGCGATATTCGAGCAAAACAACCCTCAGTCAAATGTCATTTTCTAATTTTTGTGCATGCAGGGAACGCTAGAGGATGGAAAGGAAATAGCAGTGAAGAGATTGTCGAAAGCTTCGGGGCAAGGCTTGGAAGAATTCATGAACGAAGTGGCGGTGATTTCCAAGCTCCAACACCGGAATCTGGTTCGAATTCTTGGTTGTTGTGTTGAAGGAGAAGAGAAGATGCTCGTCTACGAGTACTGCTTAACAAAAGTTTGGACGCTTTTCTCTTTGGTTAGTAACCTACCCTATTTTTAATAAGGGTAAATACACAAATGGTCTCCTAATTATAGGATGCTACTTTTTTAAGTCTTCTAACTATTAAAAGTTACAAAATAGTCCCCTAACTATAGGGTGTTGCTTTGTTGAGTCGATCTACTATTAAAAATTACAAAGTGGTCACCCGTATGTTTATTACGTTCTAAACTCATCATTTTCTGTTAAAAAATTGATGATCGTCTGAGTTGGACGTTAACATGCTGACTGAGATATGATAATCGTTTGAGATTCAGATATCATATTTTATCATATCTCAATCAGTAGGATAACATCCAGCTCAGACTACCGTCAACTTTTTAACGAAAAATGATAAATATAGAACATAACGAATACATTTTGCAACTTTTAATAGTGAATCAACAAAGCAACCCAATACTTAGAGACTATTTAAAACTTTTAATAGTTATGAGACGTAACAAAATGTCTTATAGTCAGGAAATCATTTGTGTACTTTATCCTTTTAATAACAACGCACGTCAATTTTTGTTTATTTTTTAATATAATTATGTCTACAATTACAATAAACACGATGTTATAGAAAAATAGAATGTGATCGTGATTTAAATCCCGAATAATGTGGAACTTTGAAGGTATTATTGTTTGGTTTTTGTTATAGATCCACATAAGAAAAAACTGTTGGATTGGAGAAAACGCTTCAACATTATTGAAGGAATCAGTCGAGGACTTTATCTTCATAGGGATTCAAGGCTGAGAATTATACACAGAGATCTGAAAGCGAGCAATGTATTGCTTGACCAAGAACTAAACCCTAAAATTTCAGATTTGGGATAGCCAGAATTTTTGGAGGTGATGACACAAGCCAGCACCAAAAGGGTTATTGGAACTTAGTAAGTTGGAATTTCTTCCTCATTCTGGGTAAATTACGTATGTAGTACCTAAACTATCAGTTTCGGTCTGTTTTAGCACTTGAGCTTTTGATTTTTTAAAACCATACATAATGTTTAGCTTTTATTTTATTTTAGTATCCCTCTATAAAAAGTTAACGTGTTTAGTACCTAAACTTTTATTTTTTTCAAAACTTAATGTTAAATTTTGAATGAGGGTACTAAAATGAAACAAAAACTAAAGTTTTTAACGGTGGGGTACTAAATTGAAACAAAAACTGAACTTTAAGCATGGTTTTTAAAAATTAAAAGTTTAGGTACTAAAATAAATCAAAACTGATAGTTTAGGTATTAAACGCATAATTTACCATGTTTTAACAAATATGGGATTAGATATGAGGTTAGTTGCACCATTTTCAAAAAATTATTCGGATTCTAAATTGATCTTCAATTTTAAAATATTATAAATGAGTTCTTAGATTATAAATATAGTATCAAGGCTTCATATAAAATAAGTGCTCGAACTATACACTTTTTTCTATTTAGGTGTCTAAACTATTTTTCGGTCAATCTAAGTGTCTAAGGTTTTCAACGTTACACTTTTAGGTGTCTGAACCATTACTGCCGTTAAATTTTGCCATTAAATGACACGTTTCACCTTTATAAAATTTATTTTTTTAAAAAAAATTAAAATTACTTGAGCATGACACGTGTCGTTTACAAGAGGAATTTAACGTCCTTTACGGCCGAGACACCTAAAAGTGTAATGTTATTAGACACCTAGATTGACCCAAAAAAAGTTTAGGTATCTAAATAAAAAAGATATAATTTATACTTTATTATATTAAGCCTAGTATTAATCTGAAACTTTTGTTATGTTAAACTACAGTGGATATATGTCTCCCGAGTATGCAATGCAAGGACAAATCTCAGAGAAATCAGATGTATTCAGCTTTGGAGTTCTATTGCTAGAGATTGTTAGTGGAGAAAAGAACACCAGGTTTTACAATGATCACTATCATCTTAGCCTCTTGGGATATGTAAGTATATAACCACCGATACTCGATTCATTTTTCGATTAATCCAGATTAAACATTGCAGAATTTCATTAAGGGCTAATCCTCCCAATCATCTGACATCACTTATAACACCTAGCGCCTCGTTTCACTAAACCAATCAGTAGATGTTGCTCGATCTTTATCTTTAAACCGAATTCGATCGAGTTTTGTTTTTGCAGGCATGGAAATTATGGAAGGAAGGCAACATCCGGGGCTTAGTAGATGAAGTGGTTTGGGATATGGATTTGGATTCGAGGTACGAAAAAGAGATGTGGAGATGCGTACACGTTGGATTGCTATGCGTCCAAGAACTTGCTAAAGATAGGCCAACAATGTCAACCGTTGTTTCAATGCTCAACAATGAGATTTCAGATCTCAACACACCAAAACGACCTGTTTTCACTCAAACTAGTCAAAATGTTGAAGATAGGTTTTCACTTAATGATGTAACTCTTACCGACCTTGATGGCCGATAAAATATGCAAATTATGCTCGAAAATTAATCAATTCTTATTATAATTATTCGAATATATAATATGTTTACTGTTATAAATATACTGCTTTAGCACAGAAGAACATTCCTCTTGGATTCTTATTTAGGTTTCATTATCATATCAGCCTGTGTATAGAAATATCATATTCTTTAACTGCCTCTTAAATCCTGCAAATCACAAATAAATAAAACATAATGTATAGAAATATCATTACGAGAATAAAATATAAAGGGTAAATTATGTGTTTAGTATCTAAACTATCAGTTTTGGTCTGTTTTTTAGTACCTAAACTTTTAATTTTTTCAAAACCATACATAACATTTTGTTTTGGTTTTATTTTAACTTAACGTTAAGTTTTGAATTTTTTTTGAAAGTTTAGGTACTAAAACGGACCGAAATTGATAATTTAGGTACTAAGCATGTTAAGCTTTTAATAGCGGGGATACTAAAATGAAACAAAAACTAAACGTTAGGTATGGTTTAAAAAAAATAAAAGTTTAGGTACTAAAACTGATAATTTAGGCACTGAATGCACAAATTTCCCTTATTTTTATGATTTTATTTAAATGAAAAAAGATTTTTTTCCTTTTTCTTTACAAACTTACCGATCATACACGATATTGATTCTGCTACCATCAGTGTCCGCAATCACGGCAAAAGCCTCTTCAGAAAGGTCAATGGTTACTTGAGGATTTTGTCTCGCCAAAGGATGATAGCGATCCCCAACTTTAACGACGACCGATTCACCCCGGCAAGTCAATGGCACGCCGGGGATGGCTGGTCCAATGCACCTTACTCTGTAATTTGTATTGCATGCCGCACCGTTGTTCCATATAACGTCATTCACCCTGGCGACCATAACCCCACTGTCTTGAAATCCATTGCATGCAGAAGCTGGTATTTTATTTCTTGTGCAGAGAGGAAAGCTGGTATTCCGTTTATTTATACAAGGAAATGGACCATTTTATTAGCCACTTGAGTTGGATGTCTCGAGGTGGATAAATTATTTCATGGACTCGACTCATCACGTCATTTATGATCTCAGTGAATCACATTTATTAATTTTAAAATAATTTTCAAATAATTGTCAACTCCTTATTTACACATAAGAAAGAGTTGAAGATTCACCTTGGAAAAAAAATAGATGAAAAAGTGTTATTGGTTGGGACCACGAATGACAAGACACACAATTTAGATTTTGAATTTGTTTAATTAAAATCCTTAATAAAATCATATTTTTTGAGAAAAACAATGATATCCTTTTTAAAAAAATAAGGTAAACTATGCATTTAGTACTTAAATTATCTGTTTTGATCTGTTTTAATACTTAAACTTTTATTTTTTTTCAAAACCATGCTTAACGTTTAGTTTTCATTTCATTTTAGTACCATGTCATTAAAAGCTTAACACTTAGTATCTAATATATCAGTTTTGGTCCGTTTTAGTACATAAACTTTCAATTTTTTCAAAGTTTAACGTTAAATTTTGAACGGAATACTAAAATGTTATAAAAAATTGAAGCTTTTAACGAATACTAAAATGAAAAAAAAAACTAAACTTTAGACATGATTTTGAAAAAAAACTGAACATTTAGATCATAAAACAGACTAAAATTAATAGTTTAGGTACTAAATGCATAATTTACCCTAAAAATAACACAAAAATAAATTCAATGTCATAGAAATAACATTTATGATTTATCATTAGACTTCAATCACCATATTAAATCTTATAAAGTAATGCATTCAATCTAACACCGACCGACCTTTTCTTCTTATTGGACAAATTATTATTGGAAACCTAATCGAATGGAGTAACGTGGCGAATCGGTCCAAGTAAAAGTACCGAAAACATAAATCAAATTAATAAAATTAAACAAGGGATTAAATGAAAGAAATTAATTCGAAAAAAGTGAATGGAGTGGTCCAAAATCTATAACTATAAATAAATTAAGGGGCTTGAATGAACATTGAACAAGGATATTTAAGTTCAATTGAGAAACTTGAGTGACCGAGATTGAAAATTTGAAAATTCCGACAACTTCTACTAGAATGATATAATGATCTTTTTTGGCCCTTTAACTTTATCAATTTACTCACTTTAACCTTTAGTATTTTTGTATTTTTTATGACATGATAAAAGGAGAATATATTTTACGTCAATTTAGGGATTCAATTGTTGTCCCGTCATATTTGAGTTGAGTTAACAAAACCAAAATAAAAGTTTGAGGGCTAAAAGGAATTCAGTAAGAGTTTAAGGGCTAATTGACTAAACTGGTAAAATTAAAGAGTTAAAAAGATCATTTTACCAAAAAATCACTCAATTAAAAAAGATATTCTAAGCTTGAATTTGTTTCTCTTAACTTATTCATTTACAAAGCCTCGACCTAACACTATCTATAGGCTGATTCTAAGACTTCAACATTGTTGAAGTTTGAATTATTATATTTTGATATAATAAATATTTATAAAATTAATTTTGATTTAATTAATTTTTTAAGAATAATTTAAAGTCCAAATTTTTTAAAAAAAAGTTTGATTTAAATGATATTCAATTTAAGGGTAAAGTACACAAAAGGTCCCCCAACTATAAGGTATTGTTTTATTAAGTTCACTAACTATTAAAAGTTACAAAATAGTCTTCAGATTATAGAGTAATGTTTTGTTGAGTCCATCGACTACTAAAAGTTACAAAACGGTCACCTAACTATTCATTATGTTCTAAACTCGTTTTTTTTGTTAACAAAATAAACGTTATTCTGAGCTGAACGTTAACATATTAATTGCGATATGATAAAATCCGATATCAGAATTTCAAACGACTATCATATCTTAGTCATCATGTTAACGTCCAGCTTAAACAACCGTCAACCATTTTGAATTTTTGAACAAAATTGTGTTTCTACTTTCAATTACTTTAACCAAATTTTAAAAAAAATTAGTTCATCCCACTTGATCTTTTAGCTGATCGGTAGAACCAACAGACATAAACTAAAAAAAAACTGTAAAGAGAAAATAATTATTAAAATTGAATCCAAAAGTAACATTCACGAATTGGCTCTTTAGTCAGACCTATCAAGGTCGACCCTCATATTTTCAAAATATAATTTATATTAATATATATATGTATAATTAAATTTAAATAAAAATAAAAGTTTAAATTATTCTTAAATTAGAACAAAGAGAAATACTGGAAACCTTTGGACAATGAAAATTGAACGTTGAAAGAGAACAAGGACCAAATTAAAATTAAATATAAAATTTGAAAGTTAAATTCATTGAGGGATATAATCACAAGGGTTAAATTAAAATTTATTATCAGTCTTTGTAATATGTGTAATTTTCAGATCTAATTTATTTTCGCTAATCGATTATTTTAAACCCTCATAACTTAACCATATTGTTCCTATGCAGATTGAATTATAACTAAAATTTCAAATTTGAAAAAGTACAAGGGTAAAAGATGATTAATTTGGAATAAAGAGACTAAACCCACAATTACAGATAGTACTGGGCTAATAAAAGAATTTGACCTTTACCAAATATTTGTTCTTTGAGCTGGGCTTATGCAATTTTGCTTTCGGGGGGTTGAAGCCGGGGTTTTTGCCCAATAGAGCATTTAGAATAAAAAATTAAGGTTTTATTGAACCTTAACTTTTAATTAGAGATTTATGACATTTATTATAGTGTCGGGTGAACTCGTCACGTCGAGATGATGAATTTATCTAAATAATATTTTATTTAAATTCTTCATCTTGAGATGACGGGTTCCGATTAAATATAATTTTTTATTAAATTTTATCATATCAAAAATTAATTTTTTTTAAAAATATTTTTATTAAAGCTCATCATTTCAAAATAATAAATTCCGTACAATATAACAAATACAGTAGATTCCTAAATAAAAACCCATCTCATGGACTAAATAATTAACCCACATCTTGTAGAGGGCCCATAGCATATTTTTGGGCTAAAAATCACATCTTTTCATTACACGAAAACCACCACGTTTGAACATTTCTCTTACAGTGATTCTCCTTACTAGTTTCTTCTTCCCCTCTCCCACGCCGGCCTTTCACCGGCGTCCGCCGCTTCTGGTTAGTCCACCCTTTCTTTTCATAAAAGAGCATTTCGAGTTGAAAATCGGATACAATATTTGGGGATTAGATTTCAAACTCTGGGTTTAAATATTTCTTCAAGTTCTTTTCTTTTTTTCTGTTTTTCTTCTTCCAGAATATAAATTCTTTGAATGTTTAAGCATGGTTTCTTTTCTCTCTTTTTTGTAGATGATTTCTAGTGTTAAAAAATTGAACTTTAGTAAGATGGGTTAGCTTAATCCTACAGTTAATCTCCTTTTTTGCTGCACAAAATTTTGAACATTGTTAGTTAGTTGATTTCTAGTTGTTTGCCATTGTTGTTTGAGTGGTTCTTTTGATGTTTGATACTGCGGTGGTATGCATATGTGGCCTGTACAGTTTTTTTTTTTTTGATAAAAGCTTTTGGTCGTACTAGAGTAGTATAATTATAGATATTATGAGCATTAGATTTTGGAAGTTGAACCTGTTCTACCATTTACCTGTTGTTATCTCTTCATTCTAAACCAGTTTGATTTAGTCAATATGATCATGGAACATGAGTTTGCTTAAATTTAAGGCCTCTGTTCAGCTACATTGATTTTCTCATTTTCAGGTGAAATGAAGCATCTTTGTTAGAATGTAGTGTATGCCATCTTCATCGTCTCGTATAGTGTTACAAGGCCTGTCTTTATCCCGAATCCAGAAGTTCATTCCTAAAAAGTAGAAACAAAGTGTCAAGCCTATAGAGTTTCAATCCGACAAACGGTCTGAATCGTATGATTGTGAAAAGAATGAGTTGAATACTTCCACAACTGATTTTTCATCTATGATAGAGAACCTTGTTGCATCTTTCAAGGAACTTTTAACCCAAGGACATATACTGAAGGCATTTAAATCATATTCTCAT